GGGCGTCGAAGGAAAACCCACAAAGCTGAGCAACCTGGCGATCGTCCCCCTCACCCACCCCCCCACCACCTCCTCCTCCACGCCGGCCGGGAGCATGTCCTCGGTGAAATGATTCAGTACTGGGGAAGGAATATATGGTCGCCTCCTGCCCGTTGTTCCTTCGTCGTCCGTGAAGCCGTTTTCCTCTCGAGAACTTCTTCCCACAGGTGGCAAGTCGTTCCCGGAGGACGAAAGTGGCTTCGCTTCATCCTCTTCGTCGGTATGAGCTTCATCTTCTCGAGTGCGTTTTATGAGCACTTGATCTGCACGAGCTTCACTCTCTCTTTCTCTTTTGGCGCGTTCCTGGAGCGTGGCTTGGGTGGTAGTCTCCCCTGCTCGGTTCTTCCCCTCAACCGGTTCTTTGGTTCTCGTGGATCTAAGAACCTCCTCTGCCTCCTCGCTCACTCTCCTCCTCACCAGATCCAGGCCCTTCCGAACCAACGTGGCCAGCTTCTGTAGGATTTCATCTTCCGCATCACGGTTCTTTACGTCTGTGTCCGCGGGTTTCGGAAGCGAACACATCTTTTCTGGAAGAAACAGGAAATAAGCATGGGGTATTATATGAATCTGTTACTGATTACTACGAACCAAGAACTAACAGTCTAACCAAAACTAAAATACATTCTTAAAGCCTTAAAGTCAATTTCCTATATATTTGCGCTCGTCGACACTTTTGCATGCGAACCGCAGCACATTCCTACTTCAGCAATACCTTGTGTTTTATCTCTTACATTTTTTTTTAAACACACACACACACACAAACACACATATATATATATTATATGCAGAGAGAGAGAGAGAAAAAAAGAGAGAGAGAGAGAAATCTTCATGATGATATGTTAATATGGATAGCTGTAGTATTAGGTTAGGTGTGTGGATAAAAGGGCACTTTTTGATTTCTTACATTCCTTTATTTGTGAATTTCATTATACATGGCTTTCAGGGCATATGCTTTCTGTGGTTTCAGAGGAGTGTGTGTTATCCCATCATTCTCCCAAACGGCATTATATACTCGAAATTTGTTGTTGCAAGCTTTTATTATAACACATTTAAATACATACATGTGTTTGTTTGAAGTCTTGTGTTATTGTGTGTGTTTGTTCACGTGTCTATGCATGTGCGTCCGACATACCAAGGAAACATACTGTAGCAGAGTTTACCTTGAAGTTCCATTTTCTTTCGAGTTAACTGGTAATCTAAGAAAATCTTCGACGGCATACTTGTGCATTGGAGAATACATTGAGATTATAACTATCAATATAATAAAGAGATCAGTATACAGTTCAACAATCAGTACGGCATCAGTCAACACATATAACAAACTGAATCTTGGTATTACATCATCAATTAAGGATAGCAGTAAATGTATACTTCCAAATTATAATAAACTCTACTGGATACACGTAAAAAATAGGATTCTCCGTATGCCCCAAGACAATTCCATTATCAATTATACATAATCTTAGTCTGCCATCATTAATCTTACACCGTCATAAAAAAAATATATGTGATAATACAATCCTTAGTAAAACCGGTTCCACATAATACGTATTCGAGACAGATCACTCCATCCCTTATCAAGGGAAAGCTACATTGTTTACCTTATCGTATCTTATCAAGTCTTCCGGGGAATAGATAAGAAGTGGTTACCTGTGACTGGTGGATAATCGGTTTGCCACCTGCCGTTGGGGCTTCTCATTGGCTGACTGGAGAAGGCAAGAGTGCGTGATTGGTCGATATATATCACGCCACTCCGATACGGGTCATGGGTGACTTTTTACTACACGAAAAAATATATCTGGTTAAATAATGTTGGTAAAAAGAGAAGGGAAAAACTTTCAGTTACAGAGTCACTTCCGTAATTTAGATCGTCCTTTTTAAGACAAAAATTAAGCGATTTTTTCTGGTCACTATATAAGATAAAAAAAAAGTCTAGTGTATAATTTCATATCAGACAGAAAGAATCATGTCATATGCTAACATTTATCATATATCACTTTCTAACTTCTACGGTCTGCACGTGTGTGTGTGTGTGAGAGAAAGAAAGAGAGAGAGAGAGAGAGAGAGAGAGAGAGAGAGAGAGAGAGAGAGAGAGAGAGAGAGAGAGAGAAGAGAGAGAGAGAGAGAGAGAGAGAGAGAGAGAGAGAGAGAGAGAGAGAGAGAGAGAGAGAGAGAGAGAGAGAGAGAGAGAGAGAGAGAGAGAGAGAGAGAGAGAGAGAGAAAGAGAGAGAGAGAGAGAGAGAGAAAGTGAGAGAGAGAGAGAGAGAGAGAGAGAGAGAGAGAGAGAGAGAGAGAGAGAGAGAGAGAGAGAGAGAGAGAGAGAGAGAGAGAGAGAGAGAGAGAGAGAGAGAGAGAGAGGAAGTGTGAGAGAGAGAGAGAGAGAGAGAAAGTGTGTGTGTGTGTGTGAGAGAGAGAGAGAGAGAGAGAGAGAGAGAGAGAGAGAGAGAGAGAGAGAGAGAGA